TTCTGCCCGCCTCATAACCGTGGGTCACCACCATTCTATTGCTGTCTCTATGAATTTGACTCCTCTAGGCTCCTCATAAAAATAAGGTATTTGCCTTTTTGTGACTGGCTTGACCACTTAGCTTAATATCCTCAGGGTGCATCCATGGTGTTGCCACATTGTATTTTCTTAATGTTACAGGAGAGCAAGAATTTTTTATTCATTGCTCTATCACTAACGCCTAAACCAACTCCCCTAAACCAACTCCTGGCACTTAGTATGTTCTTGATAAATTTACTAAATGAAAGAATGTTCCTAACAGCAGCCATTTTGGGATGCTCTATGGTTTAAGTACAATTTAAAAGGAAAAGTTATATATAATAATATTTATTCAGTATTAGAAAATAAAATAGTTTGATAAGAATAAATATATTTCAGAGTAGTTTCTTTGACAAGTTTTTAGGCACTCTAAATTGTCTAAATGAAAGGCAACCATACTTTTTAGTATTATAAAGAATCATCTCTAAAAAACAGAAGAGACACTTGTAAAATGCCTTGAAGGGAAAGTAGAGTCTCCAGTTGGGCAGAGCGGCCCACTGGCATTTTCATTGATTTCTGGGCTGGAAATACCTCCTAAGACCCAAACAGAGACAACTGGCACAGGATGAATGACTTGCTGAATGAAGTTGCCAGAAAAAAAAAAAAATCTAAATGCTTCACCCGCCTTGAGCTGCTATGTCAGCTTATCTAATGCTTCCTTGAGAGGGAATTTTCTTCCCTCCTGTGAGGAGAACCCTGCAGAACGATTTTAGCAACATGAATGCTCTGTTCTTTCTGAGAACCCCACTCAGACGGTTCTTTCTGAAGCACTATCATATTAAGTTGGCTCTATGAGACAGATGGGAGAGCTTTAGTGCAGATCATCAGACAGACCTCAGAACAGCTGAAGGAGAAGTCTAGAGCTTGGCGTCTATCCAGAAACTGAGCCTCGAGAAACACCAGTTGCCCACCTTAAAACCTAGAACACATTTCTCTCTCCTTTGCAAAACGATCAGTATCAATGTCTCCTTGTCAGAAACCTCATTGGTAAGTCCTGCAGGAGTAAAACTCAAATTTCTAAGTTTGAAATTCAAGATTGTCTATATCTTTGCCCCAGTCCACCCTCCCAGACTCGTCATCTACTATCATCAAGTGAAACTAGTCCCAATTCCCCAAAGCCAGCTGTACCTTCTAGTCTTCACACTCCTTCTAAGGGTAAATTCTTCCTTCCCATATCAATCACCTCCCTCCCCTTCTTAAACCCATCCATCTTTATTTTGGGACTATCCACCGTCCCTGTCAGCGGGCACTGACTCACTGCAAGACAATATACTTAGGCTGTGGGGCTCTCATCAAGTGACATAATACACAGGAACATGGACTTCAAATCACCAAATACTTTCCAAAATAATTATTCAATTGGCATTCATGGGATGTTAGTAACTCCTCAAGAAAGCAGTGTCATAGACACCGAGTGTGTGTAGTCATGACCGCTATTCAGTCTCACCAAAACAGTTATGCCAAGTGGCAGTATTGTTGTCTTTGAAATATTCTACTTGTGACACCATACATTCTTATGTTCTTGTCAGAGCAACATTAGAAAACTTAAAAATTCCATTAGGTCATTTCGTTATGTCCCTGTGAAATGTTAAAAACCCTTTTAAAAAGCAGTGCTGAGTTGGCCCAACTAACTGGGGATATGTTTCCATTTTTTTTTTTAAATTAAGGGTGGGAGGGAACAAGGACGCAGAGTTCAGACTACAGTTTAAAGAAAGTCATTGTATCTGCTTTATAGGAAATATAACTTAATGTAAATATTCTGATACACTGCATCGATATCATCTTCACTAAAATGCACTTATTCTAGAGGAGTACTTCCCTTAGAGATCACCTTCACGAGAGCTTCACTTTTTGAGTATCATTAACTGGAAATCTACTTACTAATTCTCTGTTCTCAAGAACAGAGACAATAAGGCTTAATATTCAGGAGAAAAGAACCTGCTGCCTTTGCATTTGGACAGTCCAACTCACAGTCACCATAGTGCAAAGGCCAACACAGAAGCAGCATAAATAAGGGAGGAGTCTATCTCATGAGCCTATGACACAACAACCCTCTGTATAGGATAGAGAAGGTAACCTAGGCCCAAGAGAGAGCCAGAGCAAGGCCAGTGGCTGTAATGATGTCAGGATTTGAACCCATGTCTACTGGACTGTTATTCTCTCTCCACAAGGTCCTCCACTGTGCGCCTACCATACATCACAGTCAGATTCAAGGGAGGAAAATACACACGTGACAGAAGGAAACCTAGGTTCCAGTCTTGGCTAAGTGGCTCACTGCATAACTAAGGCCAGCTCACTTAACCCTCTGTACCTGTTTCCTTACTGAAAAACAAAACAAAACAAAAATGGGTGGCATGATTTGTTCCACTTGCTTGGAAAAAAAGCAAATCACCACGCAAATGTTTAAAACGATTTCTGATGTTCAGATTATCAAAATGAATTGTTTAATTATGGTGCCTTCACGAGGGAGTCCATGTAACTTTCCTTGTATCATCCGATTGCTTGAAGCAGAGGCCACCAGGAAGTCTGCTTTGGAGGTGCATTACACCTGCTCTTATACTTACTGTGTATGGCTGCTTCCTCACTACACGGCAGATGAGTAGCTGAGACAGACTGTGGCCCACAATGTCTCAAATATATTAAAAACTTGCCAGCCCACCCTTTTTAGTGCCCTTAAATATTGTAAGCCAAAGACAATTGCTAACAAACTATGATAATTTAATTTTCCTCAAAATATACTATTTTCTATGTATCTTATTTATCAAAAGATTTACTATATTGTAAATAAATAACTAGGGAGAGAATATAAATTAGAAAACTACTCTTTGTAAACAACAAAATGACAGAAACCAGCAAAGTCCAAAAAAGGATACATGCAAAATAATTTTTTTTAATTTTCTATATTTTTTGAAGAATCACAATCTCTAAGTTCTACAAAATTATCGTTCTTCAATAAAAAAAAATTATAAAACTTGTCCCTCAAACAATCTACTCTTTTAACCACAATATAAATAGAAGAAGGAAAGAACTCAAAACATAAGTGAAACATTTCCCGTAATTTCCAATGGGAAACTACACATTGTAAATACAGATTTTAATTAAGTTTTTAAGTTTTTTAATTAAACTTTTAAAATTAAACTACTCTGCCAATCCTTTTACGGAGAGTTGAGTTCTGATTCTGAAATGCTTTGGGGAGTAATTTCGTTCCACTTTGTATTTTGAATAGGCTATGTGTTTTCTACACCTAAGCATCAGATGAAATGCCAGAAAGAAAAGTCTGCAGCGTGTTTCAACAAGCAGACTTCCTCTGTTTCTCAAAGCCTTCAAATATTTAGTTTCAAAATGAATATGCTGCAAGCCAAAAATTACCTCCGTTCGATTACTCTGTCATTGCTACTATAAAGATAAACCATAAATTCAAGGCAGGACAGACATTGTTGATGATGGAGAATGGGGAGGAGTAAGAAAGGCAACCATGAAAAGTAAAGTGGGCAAAAGCCATTAAGTTTAGCCCCTACCCTTTGTCTACAGCCCTCCAAAAAATAATATTGTTTATTGCTGCTAAGAAGTCATAGATTTTTAGAGGAGGACTGAATTTTCAGGTTCACTAAATATAATCCCATTTATTTTATGGATGAGAAAAACTGAGGCACAGGAACATTAGCTGGCATGTCCTGTTGGAGCAGAGTCCAGTTTCCTGAGCATCAGCTCAGCACACTTTCCCTTAGACTCGGCCCTCTGCCCTACGAAGCATAATGTACCATTTGGCACCTAACAGCTAGATTCTTCTTAAAATATGCCCAAAGCACCCCTACTGTAGCCAGGAAAGTTACAATGCCCTTTTAAATCATATCTATGGGCACACTTTTTTTTTTCTAAGTACAGATGATCAAGAACACTGCTTCGACCTCATAAGGATTAGGAGTCACCATCCAGCAGCAGAATAATCAAAGAACTAATAAGGACTTCTAGCTGCCCTCTGTATTTTGTCTGGGTGGAAATCAGTTTGAAATAGACACTCCCCCTTTCCTACACCCCCTGGACACACAGGCCTAAGACTAAACAGCAATATTCCATAAAAAGACCAGATCTAGCCAGTGTTATTATCTGTCTGACATTTGGGTTATTCTTGTGAGTAACTCATAAAGTAACGTGGGTGTCTGGATTATTTGAATACACATGGCAAACCATAATTGGTCAAAAAATAATAAAGGACATTTTCCAGTGACAAAAATACTGTATTGCATGACAACATGGCACTATGACAGTTTTCAGGAGACCACAATACTTTCTCCATTTATAAAAAAGTAAAAAAGAAACACAAACTTAAAAAGAAGCTAAAATACCCTTTTTTTTTTTCTTGCAGTCAGTAAGTACTAGTTCATATTTAAAGTTTTTGACTGCTGACAGTAATCCACTAGTCTATCTTCCCCAAATCTCCCTTAGGTACCAATTTATAATCCAGTCTCGTGCCAAAGAGAAGTAATATGGCAAAAGATGCAAGTCTGCATCCCCCCCTACAAATTATTTCACTACCACCTTCCAAATTTATAAGAGTCAAATCTAATGTAAATTCTATTTATCAATGGGCCAATAAAACTTGAGGTTAATCAGAGCAAGTTATACATCATGGTCTCAAAATAAAACTTAACTCTCTTCTGGTCCACGTTATACCTTCCCATCATCACACAGCTGGAAAACTGCAAAGCAACAAGGGGAAATATTCTAATTGCCATTTCTCAGAAAAACCAAAAATCAAAATGATTCCCAAAGTAATTTCAAAGACATCCTGAAAGAAAGCACACCCGTACTCCTAGACAGAAACCCATTCAAGCAGAGTCGTGTGAGTGGAAGGGTGTCTAAGTGCTCCAATCCCATAAAAGTCTTCGGGAAGGACAGCGAAGGACCGTGGAGGAACTCACCCACTCGGAAGTTCGTGGCCGTCAGGGTGTCAGCAGCATGGCCATTCTCACTAATGAGAGTGGTGGTGTTCCCCTTCTCACAGCTGTTCTGACAGCTGCCTTTGGTGCAGGTCACTTTACAGATGCTTGGAGTGAAGACCACCTTGATGCGGCCAGTGTGGTTACTCACTAGGAGCCGAGGCAAGGAGAAAAAGAACAACAAACACATCAGCTTAGTATCCATGAACTTGCCTGGGAAACTTTCAAAAAAAAAAAAAAAGAAAAGGGATAAAGAAAAGAAAGGAGCAAGAGGGGGAAAGAGAGAGCCCACAGCCCGACAGGTTTAAGGAAGAGGGAAGCCTTGAGTGCTCGCTGCTCTGTAACCAGTGGTGTCTCTGAAACAGGAGTAGGAAGCTTAGCAAACAGAACTCTGGGATGTGCTCCAAAACCACATTTGAAGTCGAGTCACTGGAGTGGGATTACTAACCACAATGCTGCACTTTATTCACGGGCAGACAAAGAGCAAGACCAAGGGCACGACAGATTAAAGAGCCAACCCCGACAGGCAGATGTAATGCAAAGAGGTTGGCCCCGCACCTAGTGGTGAATAAACTCTTGTGTCCTCAACTTGCATACTTTCCCTGTTTCTGCACTTATTAAGTCACTATTTGCAGCCCGACCCCTGGAAATGTTTTAGGCATGCGGCATGTCTGAAAACATCTGTCTCAGATCTCCTGGCACTCCCAGCTGAAGTGATCAAATCCTGTGACGCAGCTGTGGGAGCCCATTGCTTTTTCACAACTCTGGGGCATTATTTCTCCTTAGGAATTTACACAACATATATTTCGCTTTGTGATATCAACATTAAGGAAAAGTTAGGACAGGTCACAGGGAAAAGGACTGCCCCCTAAAATACCATGAGCCCTCACAACGGCTATACACAGACCGCCTGAAGCACATATTGCTTCAATTCACAAGGCCCTCTCTTAAAAGCCACATGGTATACCTGACTACACAGCTGAGGTAGCATGACACCAAAAATGGGCACTAAACTACAAATACCTTCTAGCTTGGAATGCTGGCTCAACCCTGGTGTGACTTTGGATGTGGCATTTCACCTTTCCTCCAAAATAAGAAAGAATTGGCACTGATGTTTTAGCCAGTTGTAACTTTCAAAGTCTCCATGAGGAGCCAGCAAGTTATGGTTCAGGGGCCAAACTTGGCCTACTGCTGCTTTTGTCAATAAAGTTTTATTGGAAACAGTCACACTCCTTCATGTCTTGATGATGGATTCTCTTGTGCTATGACAGCACAGCAGAGTCGCACAGAGACCATATGACCTCACCACACCTGCCCTTCACAGCCAGGTCCCAATCTAAACTCTGGCACACTGCAGTAGAGAAACACTGTTTAGCATCTACATGTGTAGATGTGCTCTTTCCCAGCACCCAGGCAGAAAGCAAAGATGGCGGCAGGAACTGAACAGGGACAGTTCACCTATGAGGCTTTAAGTCTAGTGAGCCACATGCCCTTCCACTGCCTTGCTGCAGTGGCCAAAGGTGGACTGGCTCCCTTCAGTCTTTCCACTGCCACCTTTGCCAGCTCCTCCCCCATGTACTGCTCTGGTCTTATCCATATTATATTTTCAGACAATCATCCAGGATGCTTCTAGAGACTCACAATAAATTAAACTGTGGTAACAATCTGAGCTGAGAAACAGAAAACTTTAACTGAAGAAGCCATTAGAATTTCAAGGTTGAAGTGGGACCTCAGAGGTTTTTCTACACACGTTTATCCACTGCTTGCTTTCCTCCATGCACCAGGTGGCCATCTTGAGGGAGCTCATTACCCATTAGACCCATTCTAGGTACAGGCATCTCCTACTAAGTGAGATTTCTTTCTTGAGCTAGACTCATTCTTACAGTAACTTGTACCTGTTAATCCCAATGTGCTCCCCTATGGGCTCATAGCCCAATGCCTCTTCCACATGAGAAGCCTTCAAATGCTCAGCCAACTGCCACCATAATCAAGGAAAACTAACATTAGAAGGTCTGGAAGCCATTGGCACGGTTGGCATTCTTAAAGTAATTCCTTCAGAGGAAAAAGACCCTCTATTCTTTTCAAAAACAGAATAGAAAAAAATAGAGGGCAGTACTAAGGTTTGAACTCAGGGCCTGCTAAGCAGGTGCCCTACCACTTAAGTCATGCCTCCAGCTCATTTTGCTTGGGTTATTTTGGAGGTAGGAGTCTTACTGTTTGTCCAGGCTAGCCTGGGTCACAATTCTATGCTTCCCACCTTAGCTGGGATGACAAGTACATGCCACCATGCCCAGCAATTGGTTGAGATGTAGTCTTGCCAATTACCCCACCCATCCTCCACGCAACTCCAATGTTTTTCCATGACAGTATCCCCTTCCTCAGTGGTTCCAACACTGGAGATCAAGTGCCTGAAGCTGGTGAAGTGGCTCAAGTGGTAGAGTACTTGCCTCGCAAACATGAGGCTATGAGTTCAAGCCCCAGTACCGCCAAAAAAAAAAAAATGCAGGTTGTCTGAAATAGACATTTTAGTGGCCAGCCAGGCCTTCTGGTACCTTGCAAATAGCATCCAATAAGAAGCTACTATCAAGGCTAAAGCCAGGGATCAGCAAACTTTTTCAATTAAGGGCTAAATAGTAAGTATTTCAGGATTGCAGGCCAAAAGGACACCATTGCAACTAGTTGACTCTGCTGTGGAAACTAGAAAGCAGCCTATCAAAAACAACATGCAAGCCCATGCTGGTGGCTCATACATAACTATAATCCCTGCTGCTTGGAAGGTTAAGATCAGGAGGACTGCAGTTGGAGAACAGTCCCAGTAAATAGTTCATAAGACCCCACCTCAACCAATACATGGATACAGTGTATCCAAGCTACTCCAGAGGCTGAGATAGGGAGGACTGAGGTTGTAGGCCAAACTGAGGGGAAAAAAAACTTCATGAGACCCATCTCAATGGAAAAAATCTGGGCATGGTGGTACATACCTGTCATACCAGCTACAGCAGGAGGTGTAAAATAGGAGGATCACAGTCCAGGCAGGCCGAAGCAAAATATAAGACTCTGTCTCCAAAATAACCAAAGCAAAAAGGGCTGGAGGTGTGGCTCAAGTGGTAGAATGCCTGCCTAGCAAGTGTGAAGTCTTGAATTCAAATCCCATACTACCAAAAAACCCAATATGCAAATGAATAGGTTTGGCTGTGTTCCAATAAACCTTTATTTAGACACACAGTTTGCTGCCCACTGCTTTAAATGTTTATATGACATTGAAAATTATTTGGGCAGCTACCTTAGAAATTTCTTAAAATGCAATGGAATACTCGTTTCACAAGTGTACAAAATTCATCTAGCTTGATGGCTTTTTTGTTGCTGTTGTTTTTGTTTTATGGCATTTTTTGTAGGGTACCATAAACAAATCAGCTCAGGCTCTTTGTTGTCGGACCATGCCTACAAATGTATTGAGGATACTTTGTATAAGTGTATGAAGCTGAAGAAAAAAAGGAAACAAGAAACATCTTCCCACTTCAAAAGAATAAATATAAACCACTATTTCTTTGGGCTCTTGGTACAATAATGAAATTTAAAAGTGGTGCCAACTATTTTGTCTTCTCTCCAGCAGCTGCCATGTGATGCCCTGTCCCCTAAATTATGCTCACTTAGGCGAACTGAGACAGCCAAAGAGAGCAAGCCCTTAAGCATGAGTCCCATTTCACCTCCCAGCTACAGCAGTCACTTTATAGGCACCTGAGAGACTCTGGCCTATTGTTTTAAAAAACCTTTATTTCTTTGCCAAAAAATGGTTTTTGGCCTAGACGCATCTGGATTTTCAAAAAGCAGAGACAGTCTCATATGACTTAATTCTGATTTTTACAATGTTCAAATCTTCTTGGAAGCAGAAGATACATTTTATTTCATATTTCCCTTGTGTTTTACAAGCATTCTGCTATTTAGTAATCCAATTCTAAAACAGACACCTGTATTTCTGGTAGGTCCTCTTGTCTCATCATGAAACATTTAATTTTCAAGATAACAAGCTTTAGGTTCCCACATCAGCCTCCAAAATCAGTAGTGAAAAACTGCATTGATACTCAATCATCATTCAGATCTCTAGTAGGATCTCCATAAATACTGAATGCATAAGAAAATACATTCTTCCATCTATCTATCCACCTGTCCATCTCTCATTTCCACCTCTCTAGGTTATAGTGTAAAGAGCTTAGGGGTTTGAAGTACACAAAACTAAGGTCACTGTTTTATGCTTCAAATTTATCACAAGTGACAAGTTGAAGACCACAATAGTCACCTTTCAAGTATCTTGTAAGAATTCACTAGCAGTGGATGTGAATTCTTCTCCAGAGGTCATTGGTCCAAGAGGCATCTTCCCTGAATAAGTCAATACTCAAGGGCCTCTGGTGCTTGGCACATAGTACCCAAAAATGTGGACTAAAGGAAGTGGCCTGGAGGTGTCCAGGGGTCAAGGTGACTGCCAAACCCCACAGAGATCCAGGATTCTTGGGAGGCTGGCAGTCATTCTGGTCTAGGGCACTGCTCTGTTAGGGAGGAAACAGGCCCAGGACCAAGAGTAGAAGACGACCTTGGCTTCTATGGACACCTTTCAGCTGATTAGGAGTGACAACTCTGAGACACAGAATGTGAGCCAGTCAGGAGTTAACAGGGAAATTGTGAGACAGCTTTCATGTTTGCTCTCTCAGAGGGAAAAAAATGTAATTTCTAGACCTTTGTAAGTAAATCAGCCCCAGAAATCTTAAGCAAGCAATTTAAAACATTGGGTTTTAGAGGTCTGGCTAGAAACGAGATCACCCAGAGCATGTAGCACCTCCATGGGGCCTCCTAGTCAGTCAGTCAAAGACATTCAAGAGTCAACATCCTGTCTGGAGCTTCTGCCAGGCTCTGTGTGAATTTATACCTCCAAGAAGAGGCACTGGCACATGGCTTAAAACAAACCATGGATATTCAGAGTGAATGGCAAATGGGCTGGAAGAAAGGCCAATATCCTCCCAAGATTAAAAAAAACACACACACACTTTCGTTGCTCCTTTCATAATCGTTAACAAAAGAGAAAAATTCAAAAATGTAAACACTGTTTTTGACAAATGGATTTCAGTCTAGAAAAGAGCACAGTCGCCATCTTTCAG